CAATTTGGGTTAAGTGACTTGCCCAGGGTCACACAGCTGGTGAGTATCATGTGTCTGAGGCTGCATTTGAACTCAGGTCCTCCTGATTCCAGGGCCCATACTCTATCCACTGCGCCACCTAGCCACCCCCTTGTATTTGCTTTTGGAGGCATAGGGAACTCCCGGGCTTTATCGAGTGAGGGGGTGAAGTTGGCTATGGTTTTTATTTAATGAGTAGAGTCAGAGTCCATAAATATTTATTAAGTGCCCCCGGTGTGCCCAGCACTGTGCTAAGCTCTTGGGTTACAAAGAAAGGCCAAAGACAGCAGTGCCCTGGAGGAGCTCACAGCCTGATGTGGGAGAGCCCACATAGATGGAAGCTGGAGGGTGGGGCAGTCAGTTGAGGAGGGGGAGTGTCTGAGCTGATTCATCTCACCAGTAGTAAGTGTGTGGAGCCAGGCAGTCCAGAGGACACAGAGGGAGGAGTCCATGCAAGGAGTTGTTTGATCTTAGGGGCAGGTTAAGCTCGGCCACTACCTCTTTCTCTTCTGTTGTCAGTTGGTGTTATCCTGAGGAAGGACTTTAACCCATGCAGGCTGGCCTCCGACTTTGGAGGAAGGCCTAAGTGAAAAATGCGGGGTGGGGTTTGAAGTACTATTAGTTTCTCATAAAAATCAGGCACAGGATTAATTCTGTGTCCCTGGTGCCGGTGGGAATAAGTTTCTTCATTTTGCAGAACGTGAGATACTTGAAAGTCATGGGGACTTTTTCCTGGAGTGTCCTTTGTTTTAGCCCCTTTGATCACTCGTGGTTCTGAGCTGTGGCTGGACCTACCTTTGAGTGTCATTGCAAGAAGCAGAGGTGAGAAGAGAGGGCCTTCCTGGCATGGGGACCAGCTTGTGCAAAGGCCTGGAGATGAGAGGCTTTGCACGAGCAATGGCCAAAGGTCAGTGTGACTGAGTGTGGCGTGTGTCCAAAGGTTGGCAGGGCAGGCTGTGGAGAGGAGTCCCACGTGATCCTAGAAGTACTAGGGAGCCTGTAGGATTTGCTTAGCTGGACCGTGGTGCTGAGGACTGTGCTTTGGGAAGACTGATCTCTGATTTGTGCCCATCTACACCACCCCCATCTTATATGAACGGTGGGTTTTTCTCTCCCATGTGATAGAGACTTTTTAGATCTGGGAGCTGGATTTGAGCGCAGTGTGCCTGGCCACACAGTAGGCGCTTCAGAAATGCTTTCTAACGGACTCTCCGAGGTTGTTGCTTACAATTGTCACCGTCCTCATCGGTATGAGGTGAGTCACTTGGCCTTGGTAGTGCAGCGGCTGAATGTGGAAGCAGAGTCCAGGCCAGTCTCTTGCTCCCAAGCTCAGGCTCTTTCTGCTGTGCCCTCATCCATCTCCTGCCCTTCAGGATTGGCACTCCCCCACCCGCCGTCCCCTGGAGTTGGACACTTGCAGACGTCTCTCCCCAAGTCTCTCTCTGTGGCTTTGTCCCTTGTGGTCTCAGCGGCTCTCCTGGCGCTGGTGGGCTCTTTGCCACTGGCTCTCGTGTGTCCTCTGGTCCGAGTCTCCCCCTTGAATTCCCTTCCCCATCATCCGTGGCCTCTCTGTCCTCGGAGCACCTCGGAGTCGACGCGGATGTCTGATGCAGAAGGTCTTTCTCCTTCCCCCAGGTTCCTTTCAGACTACCCTGGAGCCCGTGCTCCTAATCCTCGGGTCCTCCTGGACGCTCCTCATCCCCATGCCCATCCCCAAGCTGCTGCTGAGCCCCGTTGGTTGGCTTTGGCCATGTTGCCCCGGCTGCGCCCTGCTCCGGCCTCTCCTCCCCGCTTCCTTGGGCTGTGCTCACGGCTCCCCTTGTCTCCTTGCCCTCAGTGACTCTTCACCGCATACTTGGAGGGTCTTCCTAAGGCTTAGGAGCCCTCACACACCTTCCTCAGCTCCTTCCTCCCTCAAGAACAAAACAGACTCTTCTTCCAGTCTCATTTCACGATACCATCTTTCACACGTCCTTTACGTCCTTTACGTTTTACGTCATTTACGTTTTACGTTTTGGCCAGATGCACTCACGCAGGCCGTTCCGCCTTCTGCGACAGTCCGCTGACCCCGCCTCCTGGCTGCTCTGGAACGAGACAGCCGACTCTTGGATTTCCCCTGTGCCAGCCACCGACCTTCCTGGCTTCCGTCTTTGACCCCTCCTGATTCCCGTGCCTTCCCTCTTTTGATCCTGTGTGTCACTTGTTTGATTGCGAGTTCCTCGAGGGCAGGACTGGCTTTTTCCCCTTCTGTATCCTCAGCACGTAGTGCAATGCCTGGCATACAGTAGGTACTTAATTAATGCTTATTGCTTGACTGACTGAATTGAACTGAAGTTGCGGTTACTTTTTAGATTGTAGGCAGAGTTGTTGTTTTGTTGATCATGAGTTTGTTTAATATTTTATTTCACCCCAGTTACATGTACAATTTTTTAACATTTATTTTTAAAATTCTGTCCAAATTCTGTCCCTCCCTCTCCACCCACCCTCATTGAGAAGGCAAGCAATTTTTTAAATAAATTAATTTATTTTGATTTATCAACAATCACTTCCATATGCTTTTGAGTTTCAAGTTTTTCACCCCTTCCTCCCCAGGACGACACAGAATCTGATATAAGCTATATGTATACATTCTTATTAACCATATTTTCAGATTAGTGATGTTATAAGTAAAAATTAGAACCAATAAGAGGAACCACTAGAAAGAGGAAACAAAACTCAACAGAAGAGAAAAAAAATAGCAGTCTGATTTGATCTGCATTCAGACTGCATAGTACTTTCTCTGGATGTGGATAGCATTTTCCATCATGAGGCCTTTGGAGATATCTTAGATCTTTGCATTGCTGAGAAGGGCTAAGTCTCAATGTTAGTCATCCCACAGCTTGGCTGTTACTGTGTATAATGTTCTCCTGGTTCTGCTCACTTCACTCAGCAGCAGACCGTACAAGTCTTCCCTGTTTGTCATTTCTTGTAGCACAGTAGTATTCCATTACATTCATATACCACAAAGGCAATCAATTTGATATAGGTTAAACATGTGTAGTTATGTTGTGAAAGAAAACATAGATGGAAAAAAAAACTCAAATAAAGAAAGTAAGAAAAAGTCTGTATCAGTCTGTGTCTGGACGCGACGAGTTCTTTCTCTGGGCAGGGACGGCATTTTCCATCTTGAATCCTTCAGAGCCATCTTGGGTTGTTAATAGCCAAGGAGATAGCTAAGTCCTTCACCGCTGATCCTGGCACCATTTTGCTGTTACTTTGTACACAGGACATTTCAGTTTGCATCAGCTCGGATCATGAGGTTTCTTTGTATGTAACTGCTCTGTCCCAAGGCCCCCTCTGGTCCCATGTCTCTGGAACTTACGTTATTGGCGTCTGGCACAACTTTGGGTGTTTGGGTGGAGGATCGCTTTCGCTTACATCGTTTTAAAGTCGAAAGAAAAGTCTCTCACTCTCGTTCGGTGAGGATTTTCTTCTCTCTCAAATACCGTTCACAAACAATTGGAGTAGAGGCATCGTCCTTGCTGCTCCTCTTCTGGACTGTGTGCTCCGTGTGGGCAGGGATTCCGTCCTCGCCCCAAGTGTGTCTCCCTAAGCAAAGGTTTCTGCCTTGGGAAGTGCTTGAGAAGTCGGTGTTTGTGTTGGCAGAGATGCCAGAAGATGAAGACAGTTAGTTGTTGGGGGGGCTGTGGGAAGGCAGATGCCCTCATGCCCCACTGGTCAGGCTCTGAGCCTGGAAAGGAACCTGTGATTACACTGAGAAGTCGCTCAGTCGGGTGTAACTTTCAACCAGCAGTATTGCTGCCTGACAGATAGCCCAGGTAGGGCCAAGGAAGAGAGAAAGTTGCATGTACAGAATGGTTGTAGCAGCCCTCTTTTGAAATAGTAAATAAATGGAAACAAAGTGGGTGTCCATGGCTTGTCAGATGCTTCAGTCAGTTGTGCTGTATGGCTGTGAATGGAAAGTACTTAGTAAGCACCTACTGTATGCCTGGCACAGTGGCTGCAGATACAAGAGTGGGGAGGTCCTGGCCCTTGGGGAGCTTCCATTCTGCTCGGGAGACACCATCCATGTGGGGGAAGAAGTGGGGTGGGGTGGCCAAGGGAGGCTGGTTTGGGTTGGGCAGCTAGAGAGTGAGTAGAGACAGTCGGGCGTCTCTGGGTGTGCTCCTTCCAGAGTCCATGGTCATGCTGATCTGGTTATGTTTCCCAGAACAGCAGTGGGAAATGAGGGCTGGGTGTAAGGATGGCGGCGGTGCTGGGGTGGACAGCTTGCCTGTATGAGGTGTCCAGGAGCATAGCAGATCCTCTCCATTCATTCAGCAGTCAAGGCCCACAGAGCCCAGGGCAGTAGTTCCAGAAGCTGAGGGGATTAACCCTCTAGAGTTGGGGAGGGGGGTGCTGGTGCTCTAGAGAGTGCCTGTCATGAAACATGGCAAGAAGATGGCCCTGCTGAGACCCTAGGTGGGACAGAATGGAACATGAAGGTTCTATAGTATGTGACAAAGATGGAGAAGTTAGAGGGACGGGGACAGACCTGGAAGAAGCTAGGGTGTGGAAGAATTTATGCAGTGATCACCGGGAAGGACTCGGCCCTGGGTCAGTAGCCACTGCCAGGCTGGACTTGGGAGCACAGCTGGGGAAGGTGCTTCCTACTTGTTGGAGTGGGATGTTTGAATTGAGTGAACATAACAGCAGCGAGGCTGCTTTTGTGATCCTCAGCAAAGCTCACTGAGGTGATGTTTCCTTCGGCGGGGCTGAGGCAGCCTGGGGTCTCCAGTGGGGCTCGTGTTGGGGGTGGCCAGAGTCAGCCTGTGGGGTTCTGCCTATCTCATTTCTTTTTCCAAACCCGTCTTGTTGTCCTCTCTGTCTGGTTTCAGAAAATCCACCCCTTCTGTGTGCCTGGGGGCTTGTGCTTTTAAAATATGAACTTAAAAATAGACCAGTAACTGACGGACACTGACCCCCTTTTCTTCTCTCATAAGGGTTACCTACCTGCGAATGTGGATCGGAGAGAAAGCACCCTGCGGAGAAAGCAAAAGGAATATTTTGCTTTTATCGACCAATATTATGATTCTCGGAACGATGAAGCTCACCAGGACACCTACAGACAGGTGAGAATCTTTGGGAGCTGCCCCTTCTCTGTGGCGCGGGGACTTTCTCAGCTTGTGGCTCGTGGTCCGACATCGCTTCTCTAAAATTATGGCATCTGCATCCCACCTTATTGTTGCAATGGTAAATGAATTTGCTGTCACCTCAAGCATTTGCTCTGCCTCTGTCGCCTCCTTGTTAAACAATTCCCTCCTGATCGGGTGATGGTTTCCACTGAAGAACCCGACCACCTTCTGTTCCCCAAATAGACCTTCTGTTTTCCCTCCTCTGCACCTTTGCCCATGCTGGTTCCAATTCCTGATGAGGCTTTCTTCCCCGTGTTAGCCTGTTGGATTCCTTCCTGTCCTTTAAAATCTAATTCAGAGGCCGCTCTCCCCCTCAGGCTGCCCCCTGCCCTGTCTCTGTGGGCCTTCCCTCTTGCCCCCCTCCCCACAGACTTGGTCGGTAGAGGGTGTCGGGAGGATTGTTTTTCAGGGTCCCCGTGCCAGGAGCGGGCAGCTTTGGAGGCCATCCGTTGGCTTGAAGTCCGTTTTCTTACTTGAAGAAGCTTTGCTCAGAAGGGGCTCCTCTCCCTGCCTGAGCCTCAGGCCGTGGTCAGCATCTCCTAGTATTCTCTCTTGGCCTTTCTAGAAGCTGTGCCCGCCCAGGGCACGTGAGGCCCTTTTTGTCTCTAGGTCCTCTCTGCCGCAGGCTCTGCCTCACATGTAGTAGGCCCTGAACAGTTCTTGTGGGTGTGAATCAAATTGAATGAGCCTAGTGGTTTGTCCCTAGTGGATTAGGCACTGGGTTGCCCTCTCTCTCAGGGGCCTGAGTTTCTGCTGAGGCTCAGGACCCTGCCTCCTTCACCTGTCAGAAACAGGAGCAGTACAGCTGGTTTAAAAAAAAGCAAGGCTGTTTTTGTTGGTGCTGTTCCTATGTCATCGTAGCACGCCTTCCCAGGCAGGGAGGTGGGACGTGCAGCCTGTGGGCTGTTTTGATTTGCCTTTCTCTTGCACAGCAGTGATCAGGCGTGTTCTTTGATGTGATTGTGGGCACTTTGTAATTCTTCTTCTGAGAACTGTTTATATCCTTTTGCTATTTACTTATTGGGGAATGGCCCTTAGTCTTCTGTGCATTTATTGTTTATATCTTGCATGTCTTGGATACCAAACCTTTATCAGAGAGGTTTGATACAAGGATTTTTTCTCATTTGACCACTTCCCTTCTTATCCAGGTGCATTAATTTTGTCTGTAGGGAATATTTTCAGTTTCATACTGTGGACACGATATTATGTTCCTTAAGTTCCTTTAATCTTTTTTTTTCTTTAAGATGCCCTGCTCTCATTGGTTCTCTTCCCCTCACCCGTGATCCCTATTTCTTCTTTGATGTCCCCCCCTCACTTTCCTCTCCTTCAGCTAGTCCTCCTCCTTTGTTTTTGTGCCCCTTTCCAAAAAGAAAGTTCCTCACTCTCATCATTATCCATTTTCTCTTTCTGTTTACCTTTGACCCTCATCCTCTGATTTGTAACCCCTGTAATGATCTGTATCTATAATTCCTTTTCTTTGTCTTCTTAACGCTATTCAAGGTATCTACTCTAGGGTCTCCCTTCTAGGTGTGGCATTTAAAAAGTTTTGAGAGACGTAATTTAATCATTTTATTAATAATCCCAGCATGTTTATTAATAAAAGGATGGTCATTTGGCCAGCTCTCTCTCTCTCTCTCTCTCTCTCTCTCTCTCTCTCTCTCTCTCTCTCTCTCTCTCTCTCTGTCTCTCTCTCTCTGTCTCTCTCTCTCTCTCTCTCTGTCTCTCTTTTTTTAAAGGCGATTGGGGTTAAGTTATTTGCCCAGAGTTACACGGCTAGTGAGTCTTATATGTCTGAGGTCACATTTGAACTCAGGTTCTCCTGACTCCAGGGCTGGTGCCACCTAGCTGTCTCGCCATCTCTTTCTTAGAGCAAAGACCATCACGGTGGTAGGCTCACAGTTTATAAAGTCATTGGAAGAGAGGTATCTCCAAGGGTGGCGATCAACTCTGATAGGTTAACTATTAATGAGAGAATGAATATTACAGTGAGGGGCTGGACCTGAACTTTGATTATGTCATTTACTTCCATGTTACCTCCAGCCTTGGGCAATCTATTCAAACCTGAGCAGAACCTAATGGCTTTCTCACGTGGGTGGGGTCTGAATAAGAAAGTTAGTCCAGTGATCTCATTGTCCGTAATGTCCTTTAAGAGACTTTAGAAAAAGGGGGCATCTCCTCCAAATCATTAGTTATTAATAATCATTTCTCTCATAGGTGCTTTCTGCCACTGCCTTGTAGGGCTTGCCTCATGGGTTCCCCTTTTCCATTGTACCTCATTTCCAGAACAATGCCAAATTGTTATTATTATTATTATTATTGGTAATAATAGCTACCATTTGTATAGAACCTGCTGTGTGCCGGATATTGTGCTAAGTGCTTTACAGATATGAGCTCATTTGATCCTCACAACAGCTCTGGGAGGGAGGTGCTGTTATGATCCCCATTTTACAGATGAAGAAACTGAAGCAAACAGGGTTAAGTGACTTACCTAGGGTCACACAGCTAGGCAGTTGTCTGAGGCCAAATGTGAGCTCACATCTTACTGATTCCAGGCCTGATGCTCTATCTGCTGTGCTACATAACACTGCCCCATAGTAGGGCCTCTCCTCTACCTCTGTCTATGCCCTTTCTTGATAACTTTTTTTTTCTCCTACATTAGCCTGGAAATCTCCTCCCCCTGTCCATATTCTCCCACTCATCCAGGTGCCAGTTGTCCATCTGATCCCTCCTTTTCCTTCCCCCATACATCTCTCTGTTTTGCCTCCTTGCCTGCTGCATTATGCACTCCTCTTGCGTTTCTCTTGTTTGGGGTGTTTGAGGGGCAGATAATCTCTTCAGTTCTGAGAAAATTGTTTCCAACTCTCCTTTGTTATTGAGCATCCACCTTTCGTCCTGTGTGGTTAAACTCAGAGTTGCTGGAAGGTCTCGCCCTGGGCTGCATCCTGTGCTCTTGGGTGCACAACAGTCCATTCTCTCTTCCTTTTTCTGGTGGGTGTGGAGTAGCCTTGTGTTTTCAAGTGCCCTTTCCTTGTCTTTCTTCTGGTGGCTCGCAGAACTTCTTGTTTCTAAATTGAATTGTTAAACTGAGCCACCACATGTCTTGGAGTTTGTAGCTTTGGGTTTTCCCTGGAGGTGATCGGTCGATTCTTTCCACTAGAATTTCATTTTCTGTGTTCTGAAGTTCTGGGTGGTTCTCTCCTATTATTTCCTTCATAATGGGGTCATGGTTTTTTGTCTTGTCACGTTCTCCTGGGAGATCTCGGATCCTCGGGTCATCTCTGCGCGTTCTTCTTTGAGGTCTGTGTGTTTTACTTGCATAGTGACCGTGTTTTCTTTCCAGGTTCTTGTTTTTTGCTTCTCTTCTTTGAGGTTTTCCTCCACTTCTGTGTATTTGCACCCCCATCTGTTGTTCTCTTTTGTTTCTTTGGTGAGGCTGCCGTCCCTGGTTCCAGTTTTTCTATTCCATTCATTATTTTTGCTGCCCAAGCCATAAATTCTGCCGTCGTAATTCTCATTTCTCTTTTAAACCACTTGGGAACAGTGTGTTGTGTTTCCATGCTCTCCTCACATTCCACAGGATCCTCTCTCTCATCCAGTGTCGGCTCATTTTCCTTTGTTTTCATAGTATTCGTAGATGCCTGAACTTGTTGATTAGATTTGGAGGCCGTGTTTCCTTCTGTTGTTCCTGTTTTTCCTACTGATTCACCTGTTTATGTTTAAGGGTCCCATAGGATGCCACAGCTCTGAGGACGTGTAGTCCCCTCTTCCTCATGTGGAGCAGATCAGGGATCTTCCCAAGCCTCGAAGGGCTTCTGAACTTGGGCATTCTGAGATGACAAGGCTCTGTCTCCCACCGTGGACTTGCTCCTTGTGAGCTGGGCTGTGGGAGTGACCTTCTCAGGGTTAAGGGCACATTCTTGGGCCCCAGGTGTGGACCTGGGAAAAGTAATTTGCTTTGTTTAGCTCTGAAGGAGTTGATTCCCTGGGTATAGATGAGCACTGCATTTCCACTCTACCCAGGGACTTAGGGGGGAAAATGTAGACTGCATCTGACTTTGTTGCTTTGCTTAATGTAAGATGGCTTCAGTTATGGTTTCTTGAGTAGTCATTTGACAGACGTTGTGCATAACGAGAACACTATTTAAATTTGATTTACACTTCTCAGCTCATTCTGTGTTGGCGTCAGACTAGCATTTCGGGGGTTCACTGTGATTGTCATTCACTGTCTACTTGTGGAAATGAAAAATTGGTTATGCTCCTGTTAAGCAAAAAGTCATGTTTTCAGTTGGCGTGCTGAGTCCCTCCCTCGTGCTTCAAGGGTAAACTTCTTATTCTGCTGAGCTGGCAAATTATTGCCAGCCAACCTGTTTTAGAAGTTATGCCCCGGTCTTCTTGTTTTGTGCCCTTTGGTACTGTCATGCTGCTTGATCAATGCTGATCGATTAATTGATTCTCTTCTTGTTACTTGATTGCTTTGGTCCCGTTTGCATCTAGATCCACGGACTAAAGGCACAATGCACTGTTGCCCCATGACCACTCTCACCTGCCAAACCAGCGCACCCTTTGGGATTCTTTAATTACTCAGAAAAACACAGATTCCACTCCCTTTAAAGGCTGGGAGATTCCCCCAGAAATGACCTGCCATTTTGTGTGGGAAGAAGTGTTAACGATCGCCTTGGACTTGTCATTGTGTTAGAAGATACATCCAAAGTTTGGGCGAGTTTTCAGCCTTTTCCTCAGGTCACTCTTATTGAAGTAAGGATCTGCTGCCAGTCAGTGATATTTCTTTGAAAAAGGTAGTAATCTAAATATTCTGGTAGACCTCTTACAGGAAAATTAATTAAGTACATAAAACATAAAACTTTATTCAGCTACTGCAACAGATAATGAAGTCTATTTCAGTTCCATATTACACATAATTAGTGAAAATATTTCCA